TGCTGAGAGCAGCCTGTCTTCAAACGTGGCCTTTCTGTGGATGATTTTGGTAACTAAAAGTTATAACCCAGGCCACGCTGTGCCAGGCCCACTGGTGTTTCTATAGGGCTAAGCTGTGGGAGTCCACCATGGTTGTGTGCCGGGACCAGTGCCCAGCTATACTGACCCTGGGGAGGATCGGTGCCACTGTGGTGGGCAGTTTAGGGTGAGCCATGCTCCCGTACCTCCCTGCTTCTCCAACCAACTGGTGGTACATAGAAAGGATGGAGCTGCTTCTTATCCCTTTCCTAGGGAGCGGCTGACAGTGCTTAGTAGCCCGGCTGCAGCCCACAGAGCCCTTCAAGGCACAGCGTAGGGCAGCTGGCTGATATATGGAGGGGACAGAGATGCTTTTACCCATCCCTCAGTCTCTCCAAGGTACCTTCTTGGGGTATTTACTTGAATTATGGATCTCATCAGCCATGTGAGATGGATACAGGGCAGGGAAAGGGTCTTTTCTTTCCCTTCCACCACAACCCACATACTCCAGTAAGTAGGAACCTCCTCTGGGACCCACAGCACCTGCCACACCCAGCATGTCACGGACCTCTTTATTCCAGATACGGTGCACAAAAATGGAGTCGGGTATTAACAGTCAAATCGGGTTTGATTTTATGTCAAAGGCAAAAAAGAGCTGTGGCTTAGAGAGGAGGGAGAGTAAAAGGAACAGGAGATTTCATAGGAGAGGCTGAGAGGGTGGGTGAGGGGAACGAGGAAAGATTTCATGAATGAGCTTTAAACCACATGGGTGGAAGATCCCAAAAGGCCTGCTAGCAGTGCTGATAAATGAAAAACAACTTAATTTTGTGCAAGAGCTTTCCATACAAATTCAATCCCAAATTGCTTTGCTAAGTTAAATACAGCTAATGGAGTTAACAGATAAATAATGGCAGAGGGAATGGCAATAGGCTAAGGGGGAAACATTGCTTTCAGCTGCAATTTGATATGGCTGGAGAGATGCGGAGACCTGCTCCAGATGGCAGGGACAGTAGAGGAGCAGGCTCTTGCGCTGACCGCAGCAGGAAGTGAAGTGGCAGAGAGGATTTTGGCGTTAAGCGATCAGAGGAAGCAAACAATTGGCTGGACTAAAATGTAGTCCACTGGCTTGTCTAGAGCAGGTGTTGGGAGTAGGGAGGAGGTGAGGTGGGGGCCCTAAAACAGGTTCCTGAAATAATGGCAGAAAAGATCAAGGTGCCTGAGGGCAGGTCCTGGCTCCTCTTCATGCTGGTTGCATCATTGCCAGTCCCAAGCTTTCCGAAGTCATCGCTCAGACTGCACACAATCATGTGATTAGCTTAGAATGGGGGGTTTGAGACTCGGATGGGCAGGGTATGACTGGATTAACAATGACACCCAGGGTTAGAAAAGGAAATCAGGTGCTTCAGAGCAAGGCTGTAATTAGAGAAGGAAGAAAGGGGAGGGCAGGACCCTGGGAGATTCCTCCCCTCCCAATAGAGGAAATCTCCTGAAGCAAAGCAAGCCCAAGAAATTGTTTCAAAAGCTACAGACGATACCAAAAAGACCAGCAAAACTGTTCAATGCTCAGGAGTAAAATATCCCAGTCAATAATGTCAAATGCTTCACTAAGATCTACAAGCATCTCGCTCGCTAGCTAATAAGAGTTCATTAACTGCTCAGATGAAATGGAAATAAAAACCTGTCTGGAGACAGCGAACGATGCTGGGTCAGATTTCAGACATGGTTTAACTCTGAGCTTCGTGGAGTTGCACCTCTCGACATCATGTGAATATTTGGTCTGTGGCTACTGATAAGGACCCTGTGTCAGCAAAGTATGGAAGTGCACATGTAAACCCATGACTCGAGTGGGACTTCAATCCATGCTTAAAGTTATGCATGTGTTTACAGGCTTTTCTAAACCCCCTAAGCTGCACAGAGAGTTGAGGATATAGCAATTCTGCTTGCCGTTCCTAGCAGTGGCACTTGGGTTGAAGGGAGACTAGACGAGTAAAGAGGGGCTGGGAGGGGGATACCGCAGTTACTTTAAAAGCCCTGAAAGTGCATCCTAGGGGAACATCAGAAAGAAGCAGGCATGGGAGAAAAAACTCCCTGCCTCTATAAATGGAAGACATTGAACCATACCTTATGGTTCAAGCAAGGGACTTTAGGAAAAAGGATGCCTGGGTTCAATTCACAGTTCTGCCATAGACTCCCCATGTGTCTTTGGTCAAGCTATTCAACCTCTTCCATGCCTCAGTTTACCCTCCTTTAAAAATGAGTGTAATACTTACCCTATGCCCCCAGGCACATCTTGACGCTCAGTTAATCTATGTTAGCAGAATACTTTGAGTCCCTGCAATGAAAGTTGCTCCAGAAAGGGGAAATGTTATGCTCATTCTTGTGAGTGAAAAGAGTCAAATACTGAGAGATGAACCACATGTGACAGACGCTTGTCATGCCATTTGGTGTGTTCCTAGATGGCGCTTGGGTCTTGTGGGGATGAATGTGGGATAAGACCTGATACTGAATAGCAGGGAGAAAGGAGGAGACAAATGATTGGGCTGGAAGGAAGCTTGGTAGGACAAATGTGAATGCTATTGAGGGATAGGAGATAGAAATCTTTAAGGGATTATCGGCACCATTAATGCTGATGATAGGGATTTTGCTAGCATTAAGCTTGGATTCCACAGTTTTTCATAGCATCAGCTCCCGCATTTTAAAGCCCTCTCTGGCACTCATTAAAAGCCTGACACTGGGGCATCGAAGACAGTGAGATCCTGGCCATTGCCTTGAGTAGGATCAAGCAGGGTTAAATCTAGCTCACTGTGTTCAAACAAGTAACACTTGGAGCCAAAGGGGACCACTCAGGTGATTGAACTGAACATGATTGTCTCCCTACGGTAATAGGGGAAGTGAATGAATGTGATCAGGCTTTGAGAGGGACAGGAGCAGTAGCTAGAGTTGAACTGTAAATGCCCACAGCCGGGGTGAAATGGGGGGAAGGTTCAACAGGCTAAAGAGAAAAGATGCTGTCGGACACCGGAGCAGTCAAGAGGAGGCTCTTTGAAGAGACCAGTAGAAAAATGCAGCTTTGATCGTAATGAGCTGCAACAACTACATTCCAGCGCAGTTGGGAAGTGATGATAATTAAAAGTGAGGTTTCAGCTACAGCAATGAAGATAGGAGAACAACTAGCCGGTTATTAACTGCGACAGTTTTGCATGTGAGACTGGGTGGATAAAAAGAAATGGCGAAGGAATCAAACTAATATATGGGTATCAACATCTCCTGAACCATGGCATTTTCAGAGGAAAGTCCAGCTGGAGAAGGGGTTTCCAGTAACTTTCCAGTAAAGGGGTTAGCTGCCCAGTCTGATCCTGCATGTGTGTGGGCTCCTTTATGGTGCAGGGGTGTAACTGCATGCACATGCTTGTGGCAGTCGCTGTGGACTTGATCTTTCATGCCAGTGCAAACTATCAGGTCTTGTTGAATTTTCCAGCTTCTGGAGCTGACTCTCTCTGTCTTGTCTTCACAGCTGTCTTCTGCCTTGTTGTTTGATGCCGTTTATGCCGTTGTGAGTGCAGTCCAGGAGTTGAACCGGAGCCAGGAAATTGGTGTGAAACCCCTGTCCTGTGGCTCTGCACAGATCTGGCAGCATGGTACCAGCTTGATGAACTACCTGAGAATGGTGAGAAGGGACTGAAGTTTGCTGATTTATGTGCCTCCGTCTCTCCTCTCTGCCAAGAGCTAAAGACAAGCATTTGTGTGCCTGCCTGATGATGCCAGGCCCATTCAGCTAAAGCACAAGGTGCCAACCTGTTTCAAAGGAGCATTGGGCAAAGATGTTTGTAACCAGCCTTGGAACTGCGTGAAATTCACTGTCTTGCAGGTTTTGCTGCAGAAACAAAACTCAGTGCACTTTTAACATGATCTTTAGGAGTGTTTCCAGCCAACCCAAGACCAGTTTTCAGTGACCCTGAGTTGATTCATGTTCCCGCAGCACATTCCTGCAAAACTCAAGAATTGCAGATAAGGTTTTTTTCCGGAGGAGTTTGGCCTCATTTGGCTTGGAAAGTCGGGGGCTACCTGGATCAAAATTAGCTATGGGTCAAAATCAGAATCCCAGATTTCAGCCCTCTCAAATTCTTGGAGAGGTTTAATGTCTATTCCCCGAGCTGGACTTGTTCGAAACACAAAGAAACCTGCTCTCTTTTTCTTCTTTGGATGCGTCCTGAAAACAACAGATCTCATAAAATTTCTTCTCTAAAATGGTAGAAAACTCATGGGAAGTTATCTCCGATGTGGCCCTGGTCTGGCTTGCAGCAACACACCTGGACTCCTGGCAGTCCCGGGCAAACTTTTAGTGTCAGGCCCCGCTTTGCCAGAGATAACGATAATAATAAAAATGACCAATTTCAGGCCCCTTTTCTGTCTGGGCAGCCACCCGGTTCACCCATGCCTGTGTCCGACCCTGCTGGCCTGATGACTGTCACTCCAGTCCCGAGTTGAACTCCACCTGATACCCGATCACAAAAATGACTCCAACCACAGAGCTGCTCCTGGCTCTCAAAGGAGTCCCATTAACTTGCTGTCATGACTAGCAACATGCTTCAGCAGCAAGTCAGCAGCATTTAATCTGCTGTACAAGGTTAGATGCTTGTTTTGGGATCCTTTGCAATGTGACCCCATGTTAACACCTGCCTCGTGCAGTGCGGTGATGTGTTAGTTTGCCGCGCAGGCCCCAGCAACGTGATTCAATGCAATGCAATGAAGCTGCTTAGTTCTGCAGCAGAGCCAGGGGCAGCCGTGGGGTGAAGGGGAGGTTTCGGGCATGGTGGGGTGATGATGAAGGAGAGAAGAGAGCCTCCTTGGGAAAGGAAACTCCTTGCAACTTAACAGTGCTCTCCCCTGACCCCTTGCTCCAGACAGATCACAAAGGCCATTAAAATCCTTATGTGAAAATACTACTCATACCCCTTCCCCACGGCTTTAGTGAGAGGGTAAATGTCAGGCGCTCCACAGCCCTGCGCTTGCTAACAAAGTAAGCAGCAGCAGTTGGGAGAGTCTGCTTAAGGCCGTGTCAATTGGCGCTGTAACTCACTCTCTCTTGGACAGGTAGAATTGGAAGGTCTCACCGGCCACATCGAATTCAACAGCAAAGGTCAGCGGTCAAACTATGCCCTGAAAATCCTGCAGTACACACGCAGTGGCTTCAGACAGGTAAGGCTGTTTGGGACCCTGCAAGCCTGCTGCTTAGGGCTGTTCCTGCTGGCAGCTGAGATCCTGCCTGGGTGGTGCCGAGCCCAGACTCCAATCCCCCTGACCTCAGTGGGAGTTGAGAGTACCTGGCAGGATTAGGCCCTTCACAAGGAATGAGCAGAGCGTGGCTTTAACTGCAGCTCACGCTGCGCATGGGTTGGAAGGAAGCAATCCCTTGCTCCCCTAACTCGGGAGACGGCTCCAAAGCATCCCCAGGCATTTCAAATTCTCCTTCAAGGACCATCTCTCCCACCAGATCGGAGTCTGTCCAGCTTCAGCAGCAGACGTAGCAGCCCCCTTTCCTAGGGGACAGCATTCAGTGCCTACAACCCTTTCACCGGCTGCAGACACACGGGGCCATCTGCATTACAGATGTGTTCTGCTTTAGTTAAACTGGTTCAAACCTCTGTGCAGCCATGTTTGCTTCAACTGAAGAGCAGAATTATTTTAGTTTGAGTCTAGCCACGGAGGCTTAATCAAAATTGGCGCTCTTCTGCCAGAGAAGAAGTCCGACTAGAATGGCTCTGTCAGTTTAAATTCATACTTTAGTGTCTATGAGTGCACTGTTTCCTTGTAGACAAGGCCTAAATCAATTTAAATTCGTGCCTTGTTATTAAATCCATACAGACCACCCCACCATCTATGCACAAGAAAATTATCTTTGCAATGCTTCTTCCTTTAAGCTCTTGTATCCTAAAATACAAGATTTAATTTAAATGTAGCAGCTTTCATGGGTTAGGTCCGCAGTGGGCATAAATCGGTGAAGGACATGACTCCATGCCATTCTCATTCCACCTGCATCGAGAGCAAATGGCAGCCGGGGGAGCAAAACGGGGCAAGGGGCCCTCTTACACATTGGAAACAACAGGCTTCTATTAAGCATTTTATAAAAATAAAAGTTATTTTCCATGATTTATGGAGAATGGCAGGGAGAAAATTGGCACGATTTAATCTCTGACAGGATTCCACACAGCTGTCAAGAAAAATCCTCCATCACCTTAATTTAAAAGACCCATTTCCCATTTCTTGTCAATCCATTCAGAATTTTCTGGACTGGATTCTCATCCTGGTTACACTACTAACGTCTAGGGATTTACTCCTGATTTTCACCACGGCCGAAATAAGAGCAGAGCCAGGCTTGCTGAGTTAGGATACAGCGTGCATGTTAAAACCTATGCAGAAATGTTTAATTTATTATTATTGGAGCTGATAGAAGGAGTTTCCCATTGAAAAATGCAGTTTTGTCAGAACTGAAGCATTTCACAGGAACCTCTCTCATTCCTCATAATCTTCTGGACAGCGTAGAAATGGTTCATTGGGACGCTTATAGACTATTAAAATATTAGGTTTTCTATGATATTGAACATGAATGTATAATTTTCTCTGTATAAATATTTCATATTAAATTAAGTGCATCAGAGCAGTAAAGGGGAAACAAAATGTTTCAAGAGCCCCAACTGAAACAGGATGTTTTGCAGTTGAGTTTGGGGGGAAATGTCAAAATTTGGGCTTTTCGTCCAATTTGCAGCAGGAAAGAATCACCAGTGTCCGAGTTTCCCATGCAATGGGTATTCCCAGTCCTGGCCAGGTCTAATCCTTCCCTTTACTCCCCTCCCATTCCTCTTGGTCTCTTTCCCCTTGAGTGCTTGCTGATCCCCACCTGCTATTAATGTATTACCTTCCTTATTCTCTATCCCCTTCTCCAATGGTATTTTCTGCTGATTCCAGGGTCAGCGATACAGCAGGGCCCAGATACAATTCCCCTGCTATTGCCACTACACTCTGTAAGGGCTAGTTTGCTTCTCGGTGCCGTGACTGCCTGATGTGTTCTGGTTTCTAAATCTGAATCGGGCACTGAAAGTAGACTGATGCTCAGAAGTGCTGAGCACCTGCAGTCCCCTCGAAGTTTAGAGGAGCTGCAGATCCATGCCTGTGCCTGAATCTGCCTGAGCACCCAGACAGCGTAGTTTAGAAATGTTTCCATACAGGGGCAAGCTGACAGGAGGCAGATCCTCTCCCATTAGGGTGATGCTCTAGGTAAGCAAGCAAATGCAGAGCAAAAGGAGTCTCTCTTCATCCTGAGCAAAGGCTGGTTAGGGCATTTGGGGAGGCTCCTGGCAGGATTGACCCAGCAGTATCCAGATCCCCTTTAGCACTCATGCATCTTGGCTACCTTCTCTTCCTGAAGCCCTTTATCATTCCAGCTGTTGTAGGGATGGGGTGTGTTTTGGCTCGAATCACCGAATTTGTACCGTGCCCAACCCGCCTGCAGGCTCCACAAGCTCTTAAGCAGAGAAAAGCCAGAGCAGTTTGTCCTTGGCGCCTGCTTGATCTCTGTTGTCTCGCGCTATGGTGCTGTCACCTGCTTGCCCTTTGTTCTCTCTTTTGCGATGGCACCAGAGCCCTCATTGCATCGCTGTTTTCTCTGCTGTCGTCACACTGTTTCCCTCACTCAACTGCTGTTTGCTTTCGTGTGCTCTCATAAGAGTCCCTGCTCCTTCTCATGCAGCGCCAGGCTGGCTTTTGATTGATAAAACCCCACACTTCTATTAATGGCCCCCTAGGAAGGCAAGACTGGCCAGTGAGAGTCCTTCCCGAGTGGCTTCCTAAGGACTCTGGTTGCATTGAAAGATGTAGGGCTAGTGGAGCGATACGTTTGATGCACCCAGCGGCAATGGTGAGTATTGCTGTGCTTTAGCTATCCAGCAATTCTGCTTCAGTGCTGTGCTTCAGTAGGTCTCTTCGGTTCTCATTATGGACATGCTGGTTTTGCAGCAGAGCGGGAAACTCCCCCTTGGTCAATTAGTGGCTGAACCAGTTATTCAGACCTGCTGTTTTCCGCTCGTATGTGTTCTGATCCCGCGCCGATAGGCCTGTCATCTCAACTTTGACAGAAAGAGGTAGGGCAATGAATGGGGCAGGAGTGCGGCTCCTCATTATATCGTACTGGGGTGATGTTATAGCCTCACGATATCACCCTCAAGGATTTTTGTGGGTGATATCTTTTATTGAACCAACTGGTTGGGATAAAGTTAGACAAGCTTTCAAATGCAAGGCATTCTTCATCAGGCCTGATGTCTTTCCTGACTAGGCTCTTTAGGACAGACGCAGGGATTTCCAGATCCCTGGCCCCTTGCATTAAGTGTCCTGTCTCTTGCAATGAGAGGGAGAGATTGCAGAAGAAGCCTGATCCTTATGGCAGAAGCTCCAGAGAAAAAAAAAGTTCCCATAATGACAGGATCAAATGAAAAGATGGGTAATAGTGGAGGCAGCCGGGAGAGAGACAAGGGGTTATAGTCCAGCAGGGTAAAGGAACTGCTGGAGTCAAGCCCTCTTATACCAAGTTGGACGTTAGCTGATGATGGAAGGAAGCATGAGCAAGAAGGTGATATTTTACAGGGGAAAGCAAACCTGTTTTATGAAATAAATGAAGGAGCCACGGGCTGGGTTCTTGACCTGTGCTCATCTCTCATCAGCAATTTTTCTCTGAGATAACCCCTTTCCCAGATGGTTGCATCTTGCCTCGTCCTTACCTGGGACCTTGGCATCAGGGAGTCTTTTTCTGTTGCTGCGGGAGCCAGTTTTAGTCCTGGTTTAAACGTTGCCTGCCAATTTTTACCTGTCAAGCGACAGCTCTGCCTTGACACCACCTTCAGCTCCCTCTGAATGAGCAAGGAAACTGGATGTCATTTTCCATGCGGCAAGATCCCTCATAGTATCAGCACCCATTTGCATCGTCTCCTGGACCCTGCAAGTGAGGAAAAGTGACAGATTCAAGCCCATCTGCACTCTGGAGAGCAGCCCTTATGCAGGAGCAAGGGAGAGAAATGGCTTTAAGGCACTCCAGGACTGCTGTATTTTTTAACACATTTTAAATGTGATGTTGCATGTACCAGGAAAAAAAAATAGAGAGATCCTCTTGTAGCTGTGTTTTGCTAAAAACTCCATGGTGCGGGTTGATTGCATAGAAATCCCTGCTAGCTTTGCTGTTGTGTTCCAGCTCCTTGCCCGTATGACAGAAATGATAAAGTTTTTACAATTGGCAGGGGACTAGCTTTAATATTTGGAGGCAGAACGGTTTTCCAAGAGCTTTTTATTTGTTGAGCAAACCTGGTAAACGGTCCAATAATGTGGTTCACGCAAAGTCCACTTAGCACTGATATGCAGATGATAATATTTCAGCACACTTCAGTACAATCCCAAGTGTCAGTAGAAGAGCCCTTGTTTTTGTTCCATTGGGGCTGGATCAGTCTGGCTTGATTGGCAAGGAGAAAAGCATTTTAGTTTGGTATTTTTGCTCCGTAATGGCCCGCAAACTTTCCTAAGGGCTTGTGAGTATTTCCTGGTTCTGTTATCTCACAAATCCTTACTGGTAGTACCAGATCTGTAGACCACATTCAGGAGGGCAAATGAGAGTTTCCAAAGGCAGTCACTTCACAGCAAGAAGCAAAAATGGTGTGAGATTTCCCACCTAAGCATTGCCGCTGGATTTTCAAATGTGGAGTACTCCATAGCAGGGCACGAGGTGAATGGGCTTCATGACAGATCCCACCAGGGACTTTGGAGAACCCATGCATTCTTGCCCGGTCTGTGCAGGGGCAATCCACAGTGAGAGAAAGCAACATTTTTTTCTAACACAAGACATGCACCTTAGGCTCCTCAATAAGCGGCCTGGGTGTATTTCTAGAGGTGCCCAGGAGCTCCCATTGGAGTCCAGCTGTATCAACATCCCACCAGATGGAGAGATGATAAATGACTCCAGATTACACTTGCCAGTGGAAGACGGGGGAAGCCCTGCTGATGTGAGTCTGCCGTATGGATGGGCATTTGGTGGCCTTAAGCCCTTTCCTGTCAAAAGCCCATCAAACAGAGGCTGTTGCGCACATGGCTGCTACGTATTCTGGTAACAGCCCAATTCCTCCACTTGGACTCTCCATTAAGGTTGCAGCAGTGAGCCCTTA